TGCAAGACTTGATGTCATTGGGAGAACCCAGAGACTCATGCTTTCTCTTGGCCATCATTATCATCATCAGGCATTGTGCTGAGTGCTTTTCAGGTCCCCAGTGATCCTCACCTCACCACTGGAGGTGGTGAGTTACTTTCTTCAGTTAGCAGATGAGGAAACAAGGAGCAGGCTATGGCAATTGGAGGTAGGCCTGCCCCCCATTCACTTCCTACCCTGCCTGGCCCACACTGCCTCTCACCTACTCTCAGTTCTTGATGACTCAATGAGGAGGCAGATAAGAGTGTGCTTGGTAAACAAACACAAAGGGCACCCAGGTGTGAGGCAGCTTCTGAGGCTGTTACAGAGCAGTCTCAGGGTGTGTCTGTATGAGACACAGGAGAAGCTGTGTGCCTGCCCACGGGGCCGGCAAGTTCCCAGTCTTGTTACTCTCAGATGCCTTTTCCTCACTTTCCTCTGCTTTCTAACTCCCGTCCTGCTTGCCTGCTGTGCTTACCCTTCTCCTTCCACGCTCCCTTTCCCTTCCTTCCTCCTCACTTCTTTGTCTGGGTGTGACATATTGATGTATTTAGCTAAAATGTTGGCTGGCCCTAGACGTTCAGGTGATTCCTAGCAGAAATTTGAAGTGACTTTTACGAATTTTAGTCAAAGTTTAAAAACTCACTATATGTTTCAGTTCCATTGAGACATAATTGAAGTGCTATAAGATGTGACTAGTGTACAACTTGAGCTTTGACATGTCTACACCCATAGAACATTAAACAAATTAAGAAGCTATAGGAAAAAATTCAGAAATTCAACTACACATAACTCAAATTTTTTTTACATAGCACAACTACCATGAATAAACTTAAAAAGACAGATTGACAGACTGCAGGAACCATTTGCAACTGAATCTAAAACAAGAGCTAATTTCCCTAGTAGGCGTGCTTGTGGCATAGTGCCTAAAGCATTTGACTCCTAAGCAGAAGGCTGATGGTTCAAATCCACCAGCCACTCCTCAGAAGATGGAGCAATCTACTTCCATAGTTATGCCGCCACGGAAACCCAAGGAGGGGTCGTTATGAGTAGCAGTTGACTCTCCGGCAGTGAGTTTGGTTTGGTTTGGTTTAGTTTCCCTAGTATTCGAAAGTAATGGTCCAGCAAATTAACTAGTAAAAGCCAATAGTCCAGTAAACAGACAATTCCTGGAAAAGAGTTTATGCCTGTGGACAAGTGTTCTGCCTTACTCAGATGAGCTTTAAACTGCCCCAGAGGCATCTTCACCTGCTCCCTGTCCACTGGTCCCAGTGAACCCCGAGGGGAGGCCAGCCAGGACATGAAGAGGCCCCTGCCTGTGTCAAAAATAGTCCCTTCCTTAAACTCAAAAGCATTTGAGGTTAATTCCATAGATGCCATTGTTCACTTATCATAAGTACGGTAACTGGTGGTGGTGATGGTGCAGGGCAGTGGGACTGTGGTCCCTGCAGCCTCATGGACGGCAGTGTGGCAAGACCTGTCATGGGAGGCACACCTGCGGTTTGACCCAAGACCCTCCATCCTAGAGCTTATGTATAGATAATGCTCCTACATCTGAAATGACATGAAAACGCTGCTTTCTACTACATAGTAGAAAGACTCATGGCATCCTGTTTTATAAGGTGGATTTCATACAAACAAAATGCCATCAATGGGGGTCTAAGTTATTCTTTAGTTAAATTTAAAAAATCAGGGTACAGATTAGTGCAAGCCATATGGTTATTTGTATTAAATGGGAGAGAAAGTATGTAGATATGTAGATTTTGTGTGTGTGTATGTGTGTATAAAACAAACTGATACAGTAGTCTCTGGGGACAGGGATGTGTCTTAATCTAGAAAAAGAATTCTAGTACAAGGAACAGTTTTTACATGTAATTGAGATCACTGTCAGTCTGGTTGGAGCTAAAATGAAGCCATTGCATTTTTCATAGTCTCTGTTCCCAGCTTGTCCTAATCTAGTTTCCCTTCCACTGTGGGGAGCTGACTGCTTGCTGCCATCCAGGGCAGGTGCTGCACTGGACCCCATCGTCTAGTTTAGGATGTGATTCCCCTGTCTAGGCTGGTCTCCTGCAGCCTGAGGCTGGACAGAGGTCTGGTCCCCTGGAGGAGATTTGGGGCAGGACTACCTCCTGGCCTGAGAGGAGAAAGGCAGGGATGAAAGTGTCTCCTACAGAGCCCTGTGGCCATTGCTACTGCCCCTCTGGTGCGGACAGCCCAGGGCACCTCCCACCAGTTCAGGGAGTAGGAAAGACTTATGGCATTCTGTTTTATACGTTCAAAAAGCAGGTCCCCTGGAGGAGATTTGGGGCAGGACTACCTCCTGGCCTGAGAGGAGAAAGGCAGGGATGAAAGTGTCTCCTACAGAGCCCTGTGGCCATTGCTACTGCCCCTCTGGTGCGGACAGCCCAGGGCACCTCCCACCAGTTCAGGGAGTAGGAAAGACTTATGGCATTCTGTTTTATACGTTCAAAAAGCAAATCCACCCACAGCTGTAAGTCAGTGCTCAGGCTGGCCTTCATCATTCCCTTGGGCTTCCCTTGAGAGTGAGTACAGAGAGACCTAAAAGGAATGTGGCCTTCATCCTAGAAAAGCAAACTCCTTCCCAGTCCTGATAAGAGTACTAGAGGCAGATGAAGGACCAAGAATTGCCCACACCCATGCCAGTATGCTGTGAGAGGCAAAGCAGATTCAGGCGAAGGGCCCCACCAGCACCTGGGGACAGAGCGCTGGGGCTACGATGAAGACTAAGACCCTGGGGAGAGAACACCCCTGGGAGCCTGCAAGGCTCCAGGTGCTGACATCTGTGTATGCAGCATCCACGTTGCTCAGTCTGACCAATGACGAAAAGACTGAAGATGACTAAACTTCGAATTGACTCCAACTCCTGGAGATCCCATGTGTGTCAGAGTAGAACTGTGCTCCTGAGGGTTTGTCAGTGGGTGATTTTTCAACAGATCCCCAGGGCTTGCTTCTGAGGCACCTGTGGATGGACTTGAGTCTCCAGTGAATGGTAACCACTTGCGTCACACAGGGACTAAATTAATAAACACAAGCAGATATGTAGAATGCACAGCTTCCTTACTGTTGACCTGCTTCTGAGTCCTTTGTGGCTGCAGGTCTGGACACACACAGTTCCACTTCCCTGGCATTATAAATTAGGAAGGAATCTGATACAGTATGTTACAGCCTCTTCAAGAATTATAAAAATTTCTCAGTGATCTGGAGGGAAGGATATTCCATCAGTGTTCCCTTTGGGAAGTATTACTGGGAATGTTGAGACAAGGGTCTCTGTGCTGCTGCTTTTCAGGAAGATCCCCATTCCATGTGGTTAACAAGCGGCCGTGCAAATGATGTGTTCTGGAGCATCTATGGGGGAAAATAAGGATTGTCTTTGTCTCTGAGAGAAACCCAAAGAGAAGTATCTGGGAGGCTCTCAGGCTCACAGTCATCTCTGTGATGTCTTTGAAACATCCTGTCATTGAAATATTGATATGCTTTCAGATCTTCGTGATGAAAAGGCTTGCTTGTTTGTCCTGCCCTTCTCGGGGGTGGGGTGTCTGCCCTTCCTGGATGCCATGTTAGCTTCCAGGGGTCAGAAGACTCCATCTCTTATTAATCTTGACAGTAAACTATTTTTAACAGTAAAAGAAGTGGAAATGCTGAGCTCATATTTGTTGTGAAAAAGCCTCTTTCACTGGGCCATCTTGTGGATCTTCATCCAGTAATGGGAGAGCGTCCTGTGGGCCTCATCATATTAGGAAATACGCTGTAGTTTGTGCTGTGTTGTTTTTTTGTGTGTAAGAAAGATGACAGAAAGCACCTTTTTATTCTGTTTGTTGTTAGAATCAATAATAGTAAATCAAATTGGTTATTACCTAGAAAACCAGTTGCCGTTAAATCAGTTCTGACTCATGGCAGCTCCACGTGTCAGCAGAACTGGGCTCTGGAGAATTTTCAGTGGCTGATTTTTCAGAAGCAGATCACTGGGCCTTTCTCCAGAGACGTCTGTCTTGGTTCTCTAGGTCTGCTGTAGCAGACACACCACCAGTGATAGCTGTAACAAGCAGGACTTTATTATCTTACAGTTTAGGAGGCTAGAAGTCTAAATACAGAGTGCCAGCTCTAGGGGCTGGGTGAGGGCTCCCCAACCTTGAGCTTCAGCTCTGCCTCTTATTCCAAGCTCACTGGAGTTAGAGAGGTGATTCCTAACTCAGCTGCTGGCTGCTAAGGCTGCTGAACCCAAGGTCGGTAGGTAAAATGGCAAGCCACTAGTTCAAGTCCAGGAACAATCCAAGATCAGCAGATCACTGGTTCAAGTCCAGGAACTGGAGACGAAGACTCAGCCAAATGCAGGATCCAAATGTCCCCAAAACGAAAGACCTTTCTCAAAGCTGCTGCTTATATAATTCTTATATACTGAAGCAGGCCACACCCCCAAAGGCAACTACTTAGCTGCTCACAGCAGATGCCACTCAGAACCATGGCTCAGCTAAGTTGACAGTCAACCTTAACTACCCTACCACAGCATCTCTGGGTAGACGCAAACCCTAGCCTTTCAGTTAGCAGCCAAGCACGTTATCTGTTTGCGCCATTCACGGACTCCTAATCAGTTTATAGAAAACCAAATGGCTGTGGTGTTAGAAAAAAACATCACAAGGGGTATGAGCAGCCTGGTGGGGGATTTGCATTTCATTTTTAATTACGTTTTGCATTTATTATGTTTCTTGCAGAATCATGTTTAAAAACAATGAGACACCTCACTGAAACATTCCCTCTTTTCCCCTAAAATTGACTAACAGTCCTACTAAATAGGAATATGGTTTCTTTCTTTAAAAAAGAAATTTACGACTGGAAGTGTCATTGTTACCAAGGTTGATATACTCCAGAGAGTAACTTTGTATAATGCAAGAGGTTCTTTTTCATTAAAGTCATCAAGCACACTAGTTTGTTGCTCACTGGATCTTATTTCTTATATTCTTAAGGTTCGCCATCGGTGGTGTGAGCTCATTGTCAAGCACAAGTACACAAAAGCATATGAGCAAGTGGAGGACTTCCTGCAGGGGGACCAGGTGAGTTCCATTCTCTGGTGTGCGGAGTTAAATGCCACCCACTCTTGCCTGTCCAGTGTACTTAACATATGGTCCCCAACTGGTAGACAGCTCTTCATAACAAATACTTAAATATTTTCCAAGGACTTTTAAGGAGCAGCAGGATCTTACCTGACACACATTGGAGCTGTTTTTCCCTTTTCTCTTGGCTCCCCTTTAGAGCATGGAATTGTGTATCCAAAAAGCTCCCTCGGTTTTAGCTGAGTGGACCAAGTACCCAGACCTCACTGCACTTCTAGCTCTGTCAGCTGTCAGTATGAGCTGTGGCTTAGTAAAGCTGTGTGTAGCTCATATCGTTGTTGTGGTCCTGATTTACAGTTCATGTGAGGGTTAGATGCGAGAGCCCAGTTGATTGGAGAGGTCTCTCTCTGTGTCTGTACCTAAGAACTAGGCCACACCCCTGCCTTCCTCTCTGTTTACCAGGGAGAGTAGCCTCCTTCCAGGGAGCCTATAGGAAGGATGTATGTGAGTATTTAGTACAGTATTTAGTGTGTTTGTGAAAGTGGGACATTCACAGATCTGGGCTGTTCACAGAATTAGGAACATTCATGGGCTTGGGGTTGTCCATTGGGCAGCTGATAACGTGGCTCCAGTGTGCATCACGACGTTGTCCCTCCTTTACATGCTTCTGGACCACTGCACCCGCTCCCACACCTGTGTGCATGTCTGTGGTGCTGCATGAGCTGGGTTGTCTCTGGTACTAGAAGTCAGCCTTCATCTCCTTCCTGTGACAGGACCAGGGCTGTCAGGCTCTGTGGCCTGAAGGATGGAGCTGATGCTTGAGGGGGTGTGGGAGTGGGGGCAGGGCAGACAAAAGGACTTTTGAGAGGGTTCTGAGGATTGGGGGCAGCCAGCGAGTGAGGGCACATTATTCTCACAAAGAAAAGTACATGAGTTTGTACCAGAAGAAATGTCACATTTGCACAATGGAGCAAGAGGTGTTTGAGAAAACAGGGGCAGAGACAGAAGGAGCCTCAGAAGGCAAAGTAATAGAACAAGTGTGTCCTTAAGGTCTGTTCTGAAAACTAGAGTTAACTGCAGTATGTTTAGAGCCATGATCTTTGCATTTCTGCTCTTTTCAGGGAAGCATTTAGAACCTCTAACTACTCCGTTTTTAGCTAGCACTGTCCCCAAGATCCTTCCTTTCATTTACTGCAGCAGAGCTAAGCGTGGTACGAGAGGGAAGGCAGAACCAGAGCGGCCCGTTGCTCTCCAAGAACATAATTGGCTGTGTTGAAAATGTAGAAAAGTGCAAATGGTACATCTCTGCAGCGTTGCTTTTGAAACAGAAAAGCCAGGGTATGCTGTGGTGGTCGGAGAAGCCAGAGGGGAAAGGCTTAGGCTGCACTGAGGAGCGAGCAGTTTTGCCAGAAGCAGTGTCATGATGCTTCCACCTGTGGCTACAGTGTGAGGTGGTGTTTCTCATTCCCTAGTAGGTTGTAGATTCCATGAATTAATCCCACCCACTGTGCTCTCTGCTGGAGGAATCCCATGTCCTGTAACATGTACATGGGTCTTTGGGTGATGTTCAACTTTGACCTTTCCTGTGCTGGTCACTATGGGACCTTTCTCTCCAGCGCATTCTTGGAGGCCTCCATTGTAGACATGCTCACTCCTCACTATGATCTGTTAAATGATCAGAATCTGGTGATACAGTGATAGCTAAGAATTCCTTAGGGTGTGGGTTGAGAACAAGGAAGGAAGGGGATTGAAAATGCAGATTCAGGAAGTACAACTACTCAACTAATAACTCTTCTCTGTGGTCTTTGTAATTTCTAGACCAGCAGGTTTGTGTGAGACAAGTATGCCTGTGTGTGTGTGTGTGTGTACACGTGTGCGTGCATGTGCATGCACATACGTTTAATTTCTTTCATCTCTGTTCTCTGGACTTTGGTCCCCTCACAGGCCATGGGCATCTACCTCTATGGGGAGCTGATGGTGAGTGAGGACGCCCGGCAGCAACAGCTTGCCCGCAAGTGCTTCGAGCTGACCAAGGAGCAGATGGACAGAGCTTCAGCCCAGGTCGTGGCTGAGATGCTGTTTTAAAGAGGTGATTCTCTCCTTTCCTTCTCCCTGGTTTGGTTCTAACCACATATCCCTCTTAGGAGCCAAGCGATGAGCCAAGACCACTGCAGCGTTGGTCTCTGCTCTTGCACAGGCAGCTGTGGAGAGGGGTGAACAGGTGCCTTCATGCACCTGAGTCCCCAGAGTCCCCAGAGCCTCACCTGAGCATCAGCAGGGAAGCCACAACTGCCTGTGTCAAAACAAGATGGCTCTTGTAGGCAATGCTGTGGCCATGGCAGAGTTTGTCATATGGGAACCAGAAATCACGACAAACACCTTGAGTAGGCCTAGATGCTGTGTGGGAAGCCCAGTGGGATGTAGCACACAGTTGTCAGGTCTACCACAGGCATGCACTGCCAGGTGCCAAGTCCTGCACTTTGTTCGCACATTATCTGCTCTGGGCTGTGTGAGGCTGGGGTTTCTCAGGTTGTGCTGCAGCCTGTCTGGGCCTAACTAATGCACTGTGCGAGCCCCCAGCTGGCCTGCAGCATGCGTCTGCTTGGTGGCACCACTCGTCCTGACAGCTGGTCTTACCCTTTGCTGCCCCACTGTCCTGGAGGTAAAGGGTTTGCAGTGGGAGCCCTACATTATTTAAATTGCTTGCTCTGCTAATTGAGGTTGGAATTGTCCCATTAGACTTATTTCACAATTTCTAAATGTGAGTTTCTGAGTTGTAAAAGTAATTTGGCAGTGGTACATAAAGTTTTGTAAGTAGAGCTTATAAATCTGTGTCTTCAAGGTTTCACATAATATAATAGAACGTGTTTAATTTTGTATCTTTTATTAAAAAAAACTTAGCATCAAATTTCAAGCATTTTTCATGTTGCTGTTTAGCTTCTTTACAAATACAGTTTTAATAGACATTTACTATTCTTTGCTGATATTCTTAACCCTTTTTTGACATTTACTTTGCTTATAATGTTTGGTCTTAAAAAGCTATGTCTTTCTAATATGTCTAAGTATCTTATTTATCTAAAAAAAAAAAACCTGTAATACTGATGAGAGAGAGAAAAAAAGTTTTGTAAAGTTTGACCCTGTTCTTCCAGAAGAGTCAGGAGCTCTTTTTGCCAGGAAGAGGAAGTAGTGGACACAATTACAGGGACTGTACATCTCATGGTGAAACCGCTGTCTGTAGACACATCCCCGGATGCTGTACCTCCGGGCAGTTTTGGGCAGTAGTCAAGAAGGGTCAATTTAAAATGCAGAAATAGTGGCACAGTTATCTGGTTGCGAACTTCATGTGGTAGTCAGTATAAATCATATTTCTCTTTAGATTTTTAATTTCATGGGGAGTTTTATGTTTCTTGAAGTTTGCTTACCATACCAAAAAAACCAAACTCACTGCCATCAAGTCGGATCTGACTCATAGCAACCCCTCCTTGGGTTTCCAAGGCAGTATCACTACAGAAGTAGCCCGACCTTCCTTCCAAGGAGTCTCTGGTGAGTTTGAACTGCCAGCCTTCTGGTTAGCATTCAGATGCCTTAGACACTGAATCACCAGAGGTCAATAAGGCAGATTATTCCTTGGGTCGTTTCCTCTGCCCCAAACGTTGGAGCACTTTAGCAGTCTCAGATTCTTCATTTTTCTTTGGCCCCAGACAGCAGAGCAGTATTCCCAGGGACAGTGTGCTTTTTCCCTGCCACCCTCTGAAGTTGCCCTTCCTTTCCTGGCCAGCTGGTTCTAGATAAACACGGGGTCCCCTGCTTGCACCATGAGCAGTGGCGAGGTCTACTTTCTAGGCTGCTCCTTTCAGTGGTTGGGAACCCATCCGAACCCGAGTGAGGGCCCAGGACGGTCCCTGACCACGTAGGAGCAGTGCATTGTGTGTGAGGGTCTTGTCTAAACTGCCTGAGCCAGGGCCACCTTCTTCACTAATTCTCACACAACCCTTTTATAGTGTCTCTGAGTCCTTTTGATTTTAAAAATTATACCTCTAGGACACCAACTAAATGAACAGTAAACAAAACAGAACCTATGTGGTGACCTGACAGGCCTGGAGTGGCCTGTGTCCACAGTGGCGCGATGCGTGCGAGGTGAGCGGCGAGCATGGCGGCGGTGCTCTCAACTGCTCTGGCTGCTTGGGTTCCTGGCATGCTGATTTGTGACTTAAGATTAAAATCACATTGCCAGGGATTACCACGCAACCACGACCTTGGCTGCTCCTCCAGAAACCATAGTTGCTCTCTCTGCAGCTGGGACAGCACACGCATCTCATGGCTCTCCTTTGGAAATGAGACACCAGCGACTACAGAAGATGCGCTCCGGCCCTTTAGTTTTGCCCAGACCGATGACCTCTCTGACAAGGTGCAGAGCTTAGCTGATTGGTGAACAGTGTTTGGTTTCCGCTTTGTTCACAGTGGCTAAGTTCTGCACCTGAAGAGAAGGTGAGATGGGGGCAGTTAAGTTGGAGCTGCTGGGCAGAGGCCTTGCTGACGGGGATGCCACTTCGGAGTGGTTAGGTCTGGAGAGCACCTCTCTGGAGGATGAGACCCACTTGGCTGAAGGACGCACTTTCTCCTATCAAAAGAGTGCAAGAAATATTCCGGAAGTGCTTAAGTGTTTCTACGGAAATAAAGTCCACTAATTAATCATCTGTCTGAAAAGTCAAATGTATTGAAAGCTACGAAAATGATACTTATGAAAAACTAAGGCCAAATCCATCAGGAAAGTCTGTTGAAACTATGTTCGTGGTGTAATGTGTGTGGGCAGGGCCGGGTGTGTTCAGAGGAGATGCCTGGTTGTGGTCTCATGAGCATGGTGAACTCTCTCTTGTGTCTGTAGTCTAGGTCTCTGTGTCTTCTGCAGCCACTAGTGGACGACGAGGCAGAGCTCAGCGAGGCACTGCTGCTGCGGGCTGTCGATTGGACCCGTCCTCCGGTGCCTACTGAGCTGATATCAGTTCTCATTTCACACACTGGCTCAGTTCAGCAGGAACAGGAGTCGAGCCCTAGAGCAAAAAGACTTCCCGTTTGTAAGTGCCGGAGGCTCCTTGAGCCCAGACCTACCCATGCAGAGACAGACCTGCGTCCAGCGACAGGACCCACCCGCCGGCTCCCCTGGTGCCATTTGTATGTGTCCATGTGGTGTGGGTGTGGGTAAGATCCCAAAGGTAAATTGACACAGAAGAACTGACTGGCACGTACAGAGGCAGGATGCAGTTAGCGCCCGGCGTGGTGTGTCCCTTGCAGGTGTAATGGGCAGTGCCTACCTCTTCACCACGCAGTTTTAGATTTTGTGAAGGCAGTGAGAGTGAATGCAGATCTAAAGTGGAATCTCTTCCTTGCATCTGCCTTGTAAGTGAAGCCTAAATTACAACCCATTTGGTTTCATAATCCTGTGTGAGCAAAGCTAGCCATCAAATGGTATGACTATAAACCCAGCCCTGTGGCCGCAGGACGTGGCCAGCCCAGCCTTGTTCTCCACACAGACCCTTTCTCCAAAGTTGAGGGAAAGGCACACAAAGGTTCTTCTTTACTGAGACCCCTTTTACAAGAATTCCTCCGTCGTGACTGGGTAATAAATTTTATTGCTGTTTCCTTTGCAGGAAAGATCACAGAGAGATTCTTTTTCATACATCTATTCCCAGCCCTGGTGGGAGCAGACTTCACTGACCCTGGACATCAAAGGAAGGATTATGTGGCTGCTAAAGCCATCAGTCGACAGCCATGCCGGTGTCTTGGTCCTTCTCTTTCCCAGAGGGTGGCTTCAACTGTGAGTGCACAGAGAAGGCAGATCCTCAGCATCCTCTCCCACCTGGGCCTCTGTTGGTGCTTTGTGCTGTGGCCTGCCCGGTGCTGGCCGTGTCAGGATTTTGAATCTGAACTGGATCTCTCCTATGATTTTAGGCAGTTCCTGCAGAGAAATGACTGACAGATACATGAAACAGGTTAGGAAACCTGCTGAACATTTTTCCTCAAGCCCCTCAGCCTGTGGTTCCAAATGGATATTTCTGTAATCCCAGAAAACCATGCCAATGCTTTGTCCTGGCACCACTGACCACCACTGATGTCCTCTTCTGAGTTGTTCCAGACCATTTCTACAGAATTAGATTGATATGTCCAATATTTAATTTTTCTAAGGGATTAGTACCTGTTTGTATAAAGAGCAGGGGAAGACTATGGTGTATTAATAATAAAATGGACTTAATTTATTTGTTTTATTCCTGTTTGCTTCTAAATTTGATACTGTTTGAAAATGAAAAATAACCTATAAGAGAAGGGAATGTTCCCCACATTCTGATGCTGTTCCTTCTACTCACTACTCTCTTCATCATTTTCAAGATACTGTTGCTATTTAGAAGCCTTAAAGTGAAAGGGATTAGTCAAGGAGATGGCTGCCTGGGTGTGGGCAGTTCCTTCTACAATTGAGAATCTGAAGTACATTCAGGCACTACAAGAGTCTTTGATGATGTCCACCTTCTTCCTCACAAATACATGAAGTTTTTTAAAAAATAATCTCTGGAAAGACAGATGTGAGAAACTAAGGTTCATAGTGGGAGCTCTGGTGGCATAGTGCCTAAGGCATTTGACTGCCAACCAGAAGGCTGGCGGTTCAAACACACCAGCCACTCCTTGGAAGGAAGATTGGGCAGTCTGCTTCCATAGAGATACTGCCTCGAAACCCAAGAAGGGGTTGCTGTGAGTTGGATCCGACTCAACGGCAGTGAGTTTGGTTTTTTGTTTTGAAGGTTTTTAGTACTGTATGAAGGGAAGAATGGTTTAAAAATGCCACAAGGAGACTGTAGTGTCTGCTGAATCACATCATAATATAGGAGGCTGAGGTGTGTAAAAGTAAAAAGCTTAAAATACATGTATATGTATAGTGCATGCTTATCCACACAATGGAATATTACTCAGTCATAAAGAAAAACGAAGTTCTGATACATGCTGTGACATGGACGAACCTTGAAAACATGCTGAGTGAAATGAAACCAAACATAAAATACCATATGGTCCCACTAACATGGACTATCTACAATCGGCAAAT